TGCGTAATTTGACAATATTTTAAATTTGTTTGTATTGACGCTCCACAAGTTGAGAGGACTTTCAGTTATATTTATTTATTTTTTATTGCGATGCAAAATAACTCTTTTTTGAGCATAGCCTCGGGGCTACTTATGTCGGTTGTATCCTCTTAACTTTCATCTCCACTTGAAGAATCTAGCACCTTGGCAACCAGATCGTTCTTTAAACACCGCTAACTAGCCGAACCAGATGTTTCCGGCTGAAATGATTATAATGAATTCTGCATTTTAACTATGACTGAATAGTGCAGTTCAGTGGTAGTGCAAAAATGCCCAACCTTAATGGTTAGCTACAATTTGTCATTTTGTTTGCCAGATATATGTAAGTTTTATAAGTGCACTTTCACAATATGGATTCGCGAAAGCTCCGCATTAATTACTGTGAATGCGAATGTTTAAATGCTTCGCGGTTGCGAATATTCGCAGCAGCCCTGTTGCATATGTATGAATGTAGCGCAAACTTTTTATGCAGTTTAAAACGGGCACACACGTACATATGTACGTAGTACGTTTATCTGCGTACTTGTACATACATATGGGTACATTTGTATTTTTTCATGTTCGAACTCGCTAATTGGCCTTTTATCGTAGCGTGAATGATTAGATGTTCAGTTCATTAGATTAATTGCTTGGCGCCATTCATTAGCGTTTTTTTGCATTCAAAATTGCATTCGTCGATAAAAACATATTTATTGCCCATCACATATTTTCACAAGTAAGTTTACCTGTTACGTGAAAGGAAAACTACAAATGTAAATAGACATACTTATGTAGTTATGTACGACAGCTAACTATATTTGGTGTTGATAGAATTATATTAAGTTGACGTAACTTAACTCCAATCTTAATGCACACATTCCCGTATCGTCGCCTGGGTAAAAGATTGTCGTATGTTAATTTCGGTAGGTTGTGGGAAATCGCGATTGAAGTTTGGAATGCAATTTCTAAAAAACGCGAAGATATATTTTCTCCAAAGTCTCTGAAAATGTTACTAGATTACAAAATTCTTAAAATATTTATTTTTTAATGTTTATCGTTAATTAGTTTTGAGTTTATGAAGGATTTTATTTAGTCAAATTTTGTTGTAAGCGTCATTTGTCCACAATTTGGCAGCCACTTTGTATGAAATACGACAAAATGTGATCAAAATTTCTACCAAATTAACGACACTTTTTACTCAATTTAATTAGTTTAATATGACTGCATCACCAACTATATTTTTACTAAATAATCGAATAAGTTGTAGTCAATATCTCGGAAGCTAAAGGAGATATCTTAAAACTGATAACACCAATCGTGAATACAGGACAGTGAATTTTTCGCAATATATGCAAAGTTATTTATTCTAATTTATTTTCGATAATTTTTTATAAAAATATTGTTCATTCTACACCAGAAAACATAATAATAAAATCTCTAAACTTTGTGTAAAACTCTGGAAAATTCATTAAATTTGCACACTAATTTGCAACTTAACATTAACATTGAGTATGCAGTTTTATAGCCCATTCAAATTTAGTAGCGCTTGGTCCGTAGATGTGCAATAAGGTTTTACTTTTTCGAAAAGAGTTAACACCTGATAAAAAATTGCATTCAAATAATTTAATAATCAATGGCATCAGATCCACACCGTTCGTTCAATTTTTAAAAGTGAGGTGTCATATCAAAGGGCTCTGACTTAGGGTGTGCAATAAGGTTTAACTTTTTCAAAAAGAGTTGCCACCTTTTAAAAAATTAAGTTCAAAATAATACACGAAGGCATTTTTTGTTCCGAATAAAAGATCTGGACCGTTCGTTCGATTTTCAAAAGTGAGGTACCAAATCAAAGGGCTCTGGATGTAGGTGTGCAATAAGGATTAACTTTTTCGAAAAGAGTTGCCACCTTTTAAAAATGGGCATAAATGGAAATAGTTTTGAAAATCTTTGTTTCTTAACTTAACTTTATGAGGGTTTCCACCTGTTAAAAAAATCAAATTCAATTTGAATTAAGGGAATTAGCTAATAGAACTATGTATGGGTACCAGACGATAAAGTTTAAGTACGTAGTAATTTGAAAACATTTTGAAGAGGGTTGCCACTTGTTTGAAAAGTCTAATTTATATGAAGTATAAAACTATGGACGCCAAGCGAATGAATCTTAAGAGATCTTTAGTTTGAACGTTTAGAATACTTTTAAAGTGTTTGAAGAGGGCTGCCACCTGTTTAAAAATTAAATTCAAATTATTTAAATAGTTAAATCAATATTTACCATTTGGGTACCAATCGCAGTAGTTTTGAAAATACTTTATTTCTTAACTACGTGTAGGAGGGTTGCCACCTGTTTAAGCAATCAAACTCAATTTGAATTAAGGCAATGGGGCAATTAAAACAGGTATATATAAATAATCTATATACATATATAATACGCGAAGGCATTTTTTGTGCAGCGTAAAAGATCTGCACTGTTCACTCGATTTTCAAAAAGGGGGTGTTAAATTAAAGCCCTTGGCCTGTGGTGTGCAAACTAGTTTTATTTTTTTGAAAGGAATTGCCACCTGTTAAATAATTAAACTCAAGTTATTTACTTTTCAATTCCCTCAAATCCGCACCGTGCGTTCGATTTTCAAAAGTGACGTACCAAATTAAAGGGCTTAGCGTGTGGATGTTCAAGAAGGTTTTACTTTTTCGAAAAAAGTTGCCACCTGTTAAGAAATTAAGCTCAAATTAATTTAAAAGTTAAATCAGTTATTAAATATGGGTATCAATCGAAATGGTTTTGAAAAGGCTTTATTACTTAACTACGTATAGGGGGGTTGCCACATGTTAAAAAAAATTTAATGAAATTTTAATTAAAGGAATTTGGTAAGTTAATAAGGTATCGCTATATGGGTGTCATACAAAAGAGGTTTAAGAAGATAGTAGTTTGGAAATATTTTGAATAGGTTTGCCACCTCTTTGAGAAGTCTAATTGAATTATTTTATACCCATGTTATATGAAATATTAACGATGGATGTCAAATGAAAGAGCTTCAAGAAATACTTAGTTTGACAATTTAGAACATTTTTGATGTGCTTGAGGGTTGCCTAGCATAGAGGGCTAAACTAAAATTATTTAATAAAATAAATGAATTACTAACCGATGGTAATCAATGGAAATGGGTTTAAAATTCTTTATTAAAGAGCTATATTTAGGAGGGGTGCCACGTGTTTAAAAAATGAATTTCCACTTAATTCATCAGTTACTTGAAATATTTATAACAATGTCAGGCGAAAAATATTTAAGGAAATTTTAGTTCAAAAATAATTTTTAAGAGGGTTGTCGCCTGTTTTAAAAGCGGTATTTCGTTTAGTTATACATAAGTTACATGAAATTTTAAAATATGGTTATCAAAAGAACGAGTGTAAGAAATCTTAAGATTGAACATTTGTTTTTTTTTGTCGAAAAACTTAAGCTCAAATTATTTAGTAAGTTACGCGGCTTGTCAAAAGATAGGTGTCAATCGAAATGGGTTTGAAAATAGTTCATTTCTAAACTTTATTTACGAGATTAATTAATATTATTATTACGAGAATATTAATATTACTAGATTTAATTGAAATATGTATAACAATGCCAGGCGAAAGATTTTAGTTTGAAAATACCTTTAAAGAGGTTGCCACCTGTTTGAAAAGTCGAATTTGTTTTACTTATAGGAAAGATACATAAATGAATTATCGAAATATTAGTGTGAAACAAAAGAGTTTTAAGCAAACTATAGGCTGATAATATTTTTAATTAGAATTGCCATCTATTTTTTTTAAGGTCATCACATCTGCAACGTTATTTCGAATTTCCAAAATGAGAAGTCAAATTAAAGAACTGGGATTCTACATAGATGTGCATAGGTTCTATTTTTTGAAGTTACATGAAAACCGGCACCATGCGAGACCTCTCATCACTCAGAAATGGTTAGACTAATCATTAGGAATATTTTGAGAGGTTTTTGAATAGGGTTTCACCTGTTTAAAAAATTTAATTGAATATTGGCGTTTTGGCGCCATGCGGGTTCACTAGTTAATAATTATTTTTTGTATGGAGAAAATGAGCAACTCCTTCCACTAAACAAATTGCCAAAAATCAACGCGATTTTCTAGCAACTTTAAACTTGAACCTTTTTATACTAAATTTGAATGGGCCATAAAACTGCATACCTAGAATTTTTCTAAAAAGTCTGAATAAAAAGTTGCAAATTTAATGAATTTTCCAGAGTTTTACACAAAGTTTAGAGATTTTATTATTACCTTTTCTGGTGTAAAATGAACTATATTTTTATAAAAATTATCGAAAAAAATTAGAATAAAAAACTTTGCATATATGGCGAAAAATTCACTGTGCCAATACTTTTGTTCTCACTGTACATATGTACATGCATTCATGCGTATGAACATATACATAGATACATAAATATATATAAACCCTGCCAACCATTTTTTCAGAGCATTCTGCATTGTAAGGAAATTTTAAAAAATTCGTTAAGATTTAATTCGATTTTTTGCCGAATTTTCTAAAATGAAATAAGTTACGCACACTTCCATTCTTTTACGAAATTTCGCAAGAAAATCTGTGAAGCAACGAAAATAATGATGCTATGTGAAGAATATCTTTCAGAATTTTTCCAGAATTTTCTTTATTTTTCGTACAGAAATTTCTTTACGAGTTCGTGTCAACCACTTCATATAATTTTCTTTGAAAATTCGTAAAAAAATCGTTACAGAAATGAGATACACCTAACGATTTCCTTAAAATTTCGGGAACTTTGATTTGCAGGGAATAGAAGTCTATTGAAAACGTAATTGTCTATAAACTTTCACAAATTGACAACTCGGTTATGTGCGGTGCCTATACTGCCTTATATTTTCATAGAGATTTGGTATGTTTTTTATTTTATTTTCAGGATACTGGTTTAACTTACCAAGACTCTTCTTCTGCCTTGTTCAACTCTTCTTGCTGCTATATTGGAAAGTGCATTTCAGTTTTCTGAGGATTGAACCATATTTGAGAAAATATTTTCAGGTGTTGGGTCTACTTTAAAGATATCTCTCAGAAAAATCCGTTCTCGGACAAAATTGGAGCAGTAGAAGAATAAATATTCGACGTCTGCGGTAAGGCTGCCAGCGCAGGAATCACATGTATCAGTGTCTCCCGGCTAGAAGCGTAAGAGGCCTTAAAGCAGCCGTGACCTGTAAGCAACTGGGTTATATGAAAATTTAACTCACCATGAGAACGGTTTATCCATGGTTCGAGTTTTGATATTAATCGGTGGGTCCAAAGTCCATTGCTACTTGCGTCCCATCGCATTTGCCAGTTTACCAGAGTATCGTTTCTTGCAATTTTCGTTTTCAGAGTAAGTGGTAGTTCAAGAGATCTATTGTGTGTGACCTGTATCAACAAGGGCTGCGTCCTCGGATACTGTACGAAATGCACTGCAAACTCTTAATATGTATTATGGTATTTAATGTTCGGCTCCGCCCGAACTTAGACTTTCTTACATTTTTGTCTTGGTTTGATATTCCAAGAATAGAGGAATTCCTTAGCTTTACTTTCCAAGTAGTCTGCAGTGTGGGATTCCAGTAAATGATCGACCCCCAGGACCAAGGACCGCATTTCATACCCTTCAGCGTAATGGATCGTGACTCCTAAAAAACTGTTACATTGATGGGTCTCTTTCCACCCATCCATCGCGATAATAATTCGATGAAATTTCATATTTTTTCCATGTTGTTAGTTAAAGTCGAACGATGGGGCGTTGTCCAAAGCGGAATGGTAACGCTGCAGAAAAACTTGAAGCCCTGTTTCTCTGGATAAACTTAAATAGTCCTTCCAAATCATAAAAAGGAGAGCTTCTCGAATTTCTGCATCTCGGGGACCACCCTCTGAAAAGAAATTATAGTTTGAGCATTTTTCAATTATATGTAAACATTTTTTTTTCTTTCCAAATCAAATTTAATTAATTTCAAATTACAGAAATATTTCCTTGAAACATCTGGTATATAACTACAAAAGTTGTTTTTACCTTTAAACGATTTATTTCTTGCAAATAGTGTGTCAATTTTTGGTTGTGTAGTAGTCCCACTTGAAATAACTGGACAATTATTGTTGCGATCCTCCTTTTGAGTAGTTGTTTCATGCCTTTTTTATAAAAATATATTTATCTGTATTTACTCCTAACATATTCACTGTTATTTATACTCTGGTAACTTACTGTCTTGTTTCCTGTGGAATAATAATTTTTAAAGTGTACAAACAAATTAGTTGTCTCTCCAGAGTACGCAACAATTTTCTGGCAAGTTTTGTATTTCGCTTTTCTATCTTTTAATCTTTCGAAATCTCTCCACGCTGCACTTTTTGGAGCCATGATTTCGGTAACACTCGCGATGACGGACCGTGGCTCTGGGGGCTGAAATTCAGAGTATAGGGTAACACTATTTGGCTTAAATCCATATCTCACCTACTACGAATCCAACACTGAGCTTGCGCTCCTTTACGTGACAACTGTAAAAGACGTCGCAAGGCATGGCATTTCTTGGAAAGATGAATTTTAGCCAAAACACTTAATTATCACGAACGATATATTTGTGTTGTAAAATATGATTTATACTCTTTTGTTTTAAGTAAAAATTGGGTTTATATAGTCTTCGTAGAAATATAAAAAAATATTTAAAGTTGTGACTGGTGGGCCATCGCTTTGTGACTGGTGTAAAGAAATTATGCATGAAATAAAAGTAGACAAAAATTACAATTTTTTTAATATTTTCCCACAGGTTAATGAAATGTTGTCATTTAAAAAGAGGTTACTACTGAAAGAGAGATAATTAGAGCATATTTAAATTTATGTCGTTTTCATTTTTTCAATGGAATAACCCTAATATTAAGCATTTTTATAACTAATTTAATTATAACTTTTTATTTATTAAAATAAAAAATAAATAGTTCTTGTTTTTCAAAAAAAAAGCTAAAAAAACAGGTGGGTTTGCTTTTGATACTGTTTTTCTGCTTGGCAACTGATACGTTTTTATCAAGCTCGCGGCAACGCTGTTCACGACTGTTGAAGTTGTTCTCACATGATATGTATTTGCATCTGTAAATGTGACTTTTTCAATACATATCTAATTGCGTATGTCTGTCAAATTCACAGTCTTTATTTAACTATTTAATAATGCGATCTTTGAAAATGAAATAAGCTAAACTCAGATGATTCTATCTGTGTGTCAGATGAAAATATAAACATTTCTATTTCGTATGTACGTGCATCTGCTTTGTACAGAAACAAATCTAATGCGAGTTTAAACGATATGTTGGCATTTTCCATATGTAAAAAGTGGCATGTACACATGCATATATAATACATATCGTATAGGAACACCTTAAGCTAATACCAGATAAAACTTTGTGACTTTGCGTGACATTTATAACTTTGCCAGCAAACCGCTAGACGCAAAAGCTATGCCACAATGAACGCCAAGGAAACGATTTTGTACTGCTTTTTTACTCGTCAAAATCTCTGTGGATTTTATATATTTTGCTTTAAAAATATCAGCAATGTTACTAAGTTTTATATTTCTACACGAAAACTGGAATTTGGACGAAGGAAAATAAATATTAAACCGGCTGATTGTCAAAGCGCGCAAGAAGATGGGAGTTGGCCATCTTTTCGCTTCGCGCTGCAGCTTCAACGATCTATGTGGCATGCTTTGTGCATTTTCATACAATTCATCTTATCTGTCAAAATGAATCTGTCAAGAAAAGCGAAGCAAACGTTTTATGTGGCATCAGCTTTATAATCCGAAATATGCATTTTTACGTGACGAGTTGCTCGTTCAAGACTGTTACGATTCGAGCCCAGATTGCCGTTCAAGTTCATACAAAGAGCGTTGGATCCAACATTTATTCCAGCGTACTAAGGTATCTAGTACCGGAATTCGGGATCCCGGATCCCGTGTGTCCCGTTCACCGTTTTGAGTCCCAAAATCCCGTGGTCAAGCCCTCGGGATCCCGGGACCCCGGGATATAATTTAATTTACGACGAAATTAAAAAACAAAATTCAGACATTGTAATGGCATAAAATAATTATAAAATAGCAACCCTACAAATAATCATGTATTACAATTCTAACACTACTATTATTCTATATTAAAATATGCAAAACATAAATGAGGCATGCTTATTCATATCGGACACAAAATTTGGTTTCACAGTTTCTATTGGCTTCACGTTTTTTTCTTTTTTTCTTCGGATATATGTATGATCTGTAAAAGTTTGGATTTTTTTGTGATTCTGACTAATCATGTACTTTTTCAAATTTTTATATTTTGGGTTCTGCTCATCGTAGAGCTTCACCTTAAACGCCGTTTTAAAGTTAAAGAATCTGGTTTATATATACATGATGGTCATGATTGTCCTAAAATTAACTTAGCTATTAACAGTTGAACTTTTTGAAGTTGATTCGCATAGTGAAGCCCAGTAAATTTGGGATTTAAGATTACACCATGGTAATCCTTGTTTAATTCTCACACTCTTACAAATTAAACCATCTCGTCATAAAAAAAATATTTTAAAAATAGTTCTGGAAAAACGCTCATTTTATGGAACAATTTGTTTTATAGAGAATTAAACAAACATTTAGATGGTGTAATTTTAAATCCCAAATTTACTGGCATTCACTGTGAAAATCAACATCTAAAAGTCCAACTGTTAATAGCTAAATTATCTTTCATTATATATAGAAATATCAAGCCCGTTTCTTTAGCTTTAAAACGACGATAAGATGAAGTCTCTACGATGAGCAGAACCCGAGATATAATAATTTTGAGAAGTACATGAATGAATGAATTTGAACTGAATTTGAACTTTGAAAGATCCATATCTCCGAAGAAAAAAAATCATCGAATACGTGTTAGCTTATTTCATGAATAGAACCCCTGAAAAATTTTAAGCGAAGCGGAGACATGACAACATTGTTTTTTAACGAAATCCGTCCGACTTGTATTTATACATACATAAGTATATGTATATACTATATGCAAGTGTAAAGATGATCTCTTATTTGTTACTCTTTGTAAAAATTACTTCGACTGCAATGTATGTAAATTAATGTCAGTTCCATAGTTTTTTGTTTATTTGGTTTGTAATTACTTTTTTAAACTGATATAAAATAAAGACGTTTATATTTCTTTGGTTAAAACACAAACTTATTTTTGTTTATAGTATCGGCACTAAAGCAACACTACAAAACTAATTTGTTAGCATATTTATATTAATGGTAATGATATCCCGAAATATCCCGGTTTCACAAAATGGTCCGGGATTGGATGCCTTACAGAGTACAGCCAGCGTTGCCAGGTTGACGTTTTTAACGTTATTTGGACGTTTTTTTTTATCCTGTTGACGTTTGGACGTTTTTTTGTGAAAAAAATGACGTTTCTTAACTTCCCAGTAATTTGTCTTTGCTACTAAATCTTGTCAGTAGAACTGATTTTGAATTATTTTCTTAATAAATCTTTACAACCTTTTTTGTAGTAGCTCCTTAAAAAAATATTTATTCTTTGGACACAGATGACTTAACCCTAATTTAGGCGCATAAATAAAATGAAACAATTGGTCGCATTATTGAAAATGTAATGAACGCAAAAGCCTGAGATATTGCTACGTTCTATCTTAGCTGAACGTAATTTAGCATTTTCGACAACCGATCACTTAACCAAGTGTCTACAAGAAAGAAAAAAATAATATTAAAAATTAACACGATTCTGTAGTACCTTCAAATTTCCACATGATTGCCCTGGAATTTAATGGGCTATCAAACTGCATACCCAAAAAAGTTCTAAAAGATCTGAATAAAAAGTTGAAAGTCTAGCTGAAATTTTGCAGATTTTTTATAATTTCTGAACAGAGTTTGAAATGTGGATTTATATTTTGTTTGTTATATAATGAGCTAGGCTTTTATTGAAAAATAAGAAACATTAAATAAACAAAAGAGAAACAGCCAAAATCGATCAAAATTTTGATGACTTAATCAGCTGATCAGAAGTGTATGTATAAAATGATTTTTATATTAACGATCTCAAACCAGTTTAGAATGAATTTTAAATGTGACAGAGCAAATGACATTTTAATATACCTTACGTACATATGTACCTTTGTATACAGTAAAAGTTTAATAAGAACAATTCTTTGTGCATTTGAAAAAGACCTAGGAAATAACGTTTTTTCAGACCAAGACGGACGTTTTCTTATGCCGAAGACCTGGCAACACTGAGTACAGCACCCTTTGCTGGCTTAACAACTATTGTTCGCATTCGGTAGGTTCAGAAGGTGCAGAAGTTGAGCGCAACCGTTGCTAAAAAAATCAGTGATCGTTATGGGTCTTCTGAACGGCTTGATGCATTAGCTGTCAAATTCAACTCTCAACAACATTTTGTCTCAAATTACCAGAAAAATATTACGATCATCTAACACGCAACTGTTCAGTTGATCAGAAGTACACAACAACGCGTTCAGAAGGTGCAATGGCAACAGTTACTGAGCTGTTGCGCCTTTTGAACGTGCCCATTGCAAGCTTTTTGTAGTTCTACGTAATAGAACATTATACTTTGTACTTATACAAAAAATTTATGTTTTGGAAGTCAGGCGTAATAAGTTTTCTTAAGAATATCGTAACAACGTTTAGTAAAGCACACCCCATTGTCGGGGGTTACATATTAGTTTTAATAAAAGTGGTTAAACATTTTTTTGGTAATTTTGATTTTGCGCATTCGTTTCCATATGTCGTCGTTTAAAGAAGGAAACCGCGTATCGTTCTGCAAAACCGCATAATTGACATTTGATGCCAAATATTGAATTTGCTCACACAAGCTTTTGGCTCAATCTTTATCCATTCGTCCTGAAATATTCTAACCAGAAATGCGAATCCTTTATAAAAACAGGTAACCATTTTGAAATATGAGTGTTTTTACTCTCTAGAAAATAATTTATGCAACCTCACATACGCGGTTTTGTATTTTGTTGATACGCGGTTTTGTATTTTGAACGACGATATGTATTCTGGATATATTTTTGCCGTTGGAAATGTGCTTCTCTTTTTTTTTTGTAAAACTGACGGTTTTCGCTGAAATCCATAAATATTCTAGTTCTGCCAATGCCTAAAAACCTTTCCGCGCACAAGGGCCTTTAAAAAGTTTCGAAACACGCAAAACACGTTAATAGCAAATTTTTACTCCCCTGATTCCAAATATGTACATACATCCTTAGTATTTTTTCAATTATTTCTATAAATTTTTTTAATTTAAGAGTTAGTTCCATTGAACATATTATGATATAAACATTTGCATATGTATATTTATAAAAAAGTCAACAATCATACAAATTAGTTAACATTCACGATTTATGCCTCTGTAAAACTTTACGCGCGAAATAGCCGCAAGACTGATGAGGGCAGGTAAGCATTGAAAGGAACTTTGGGGCCAGGTCCTTGTGCGGTAGGCACCTGAGAAGCGAAGCTTAGCACTGGGGCCACACCGCCATCATGAGCCTTGGAGTTGCCAGACAATTCGTCGTATTGTGCCTTAATAACCTTCTGAGCATTGGCGGCATCCTGACGTGTACGGTATTTGACAAAGTGCACTTCGGGTTTGTTGCTAGATTGGGAGTTGATATCCTGTACTTGTCGGGTCAAATTGCCTATGTCAGCTTGTTTGGAAAGTACATAGATTGCAGTTTTTCCATCTGCTGCCTCCTTCGCTAATTGGAGCGCAGCATTCTCCAAACCTTTGTTTTCCGGTGCTTTAATAAATACAACACGCAGATGTTTCTTAACATTGGAAATGTGTTGTCCGGCGTTCTGATCATCGAACTCGTTGTCAGGGGCACTGAACGTGTAAAACTCCTTTTCATAAGTGGTTGGTGTAGATTGAACTCTTGAAACTGGACTGCTTTGTCCACCGGTGTGACCTACAAGACCCGAACTACCTAGGCCGCCCAAATAGCCTGAACCTATACTTAATCCGCCATGTCCACTCGAACCGCTAGATCCTGTGTGTCCTCCCAAACTGTTTAGTGCACCAGTAGAAGGAATTTTACTTACAGCATTGTAGTTGTAACCTATATCAGCATATACGGTGGCAGCCAAAGCGAAAAGGATAAAAGCACGCATTTTATTTGTACAATTTTTCAAATTTCTTTAGCCCTAGACTCACATCTGAACAGTCTCCTCGGAATGCTTCCAAATTCAGTCGAACATAGCCTTATATACTGCCACAATTTCTTATACATACTTCCGACGAAAAAGTCGTAGGCTACCACATTCCACAATATGCCCAACTCTTGTAAGATTACTTAAAGAAATAAAATAAACATCGTAGATATGTACATATGTATGTATGTATGTACATATTAAAAATACATAGCTAACATTTGTATTAAAATATCAATTTTCTAGATCTGCATTATATTTTACATAAAGCGGATTATTAAATTTATTAAATAAAGGCGATAATTCGGAAAGCAACAAACAATAGACTAAAATGCAGCAATGGATGCCATTAGCATTATATTATTTTATAGCAGCGCATTTTTTAATAAGCATGAAATGATTGTGATCGGCAAGCCAGACAACTGCGGCTTTGAGCCATGATATTGGCCACGAAGTCCATATTAAAATAAAGGCTCTACAAATAAACAAAATATGCGGTTTAATATGCTACATCGATGAAGTTTTATTTAAATTTTTCAATATTTGTATCTAATAATAACGCAATTACAGTTGAAATTTATTTTCTGTTTTAATTAAAAATCAAAAATTACCTCTTTGATCATTTAAAACTTTTGTTGTATATATGTGTACATTACATGCTGTTGGGTTACGCGATTCTTTTAATTTAAGTATTTCAACCACCAAAAAGATAACTGGTTTATGGCTGAACCGCCCTGTATAGGTTTACATGCAGCCGTTGCCAATCAGCCGGCAATGGCAAAGGTCCGAGTGAAAAAGTTTTTCATAAAAATCCCTTGCCATTCGGAGGCGGCTTAAAACTGTAGGTCCATCCATTTGTGTAAGAACATCAAGCCGCACACTACAAATTGGAGGAGAAGCTCGGCCAAATATTTAGAGCAAAAACGTCGCTGGAATAATGAAATAGTGTAACATGAAAATTATAGTTTTGAGAAAAACGAATTGAAAGTTTTTATAAACCATTACAAACCATATAAATACAATTTCGTTTTTCGGGAATAAATTAGTAAGCCAAAGAGATATTTAAGAAAACGTAAAGATTTTTCTATTGGATTAAAGGATTGTCTATCCAATGGTGCACTTATCGAATAATAGTGTATGTAGCATTTACAGTGTTTCGTTATTCGACCGACGAAAATATCTATATATATAATCTATATATATATGTTAATACGGTAACATAAATTTTGTCCACCTTCGTTTAGCGATTCTACCGAACTAAGAACACCATTGGAAAGGTATTTTTCTGTAGATGAGATGAGTTCTTATGGCTTCAAAATTCGTTTATTCGTCGTTTAAAAATTTTAGTATTTATTGGAATTTTTCGATAAGAATCGAAATATATCATATCAAGGAAAATTTAGTTATCGAAAATTATTAAGTTATCTAAATTTATCGAGTCATCAAATTTTACAGTTATCGAAATGTTTATAAAATTATCATAATGTATCGAGTCCTTTCAACTTATAGAGAAATAGATATTTATTGTTTTATCGAAATTTGTTGGTAGTTATCGAAATTTGTAGGTTTATAGAATCCAAATTATTCGAATTTCCAAAGTATACCGAGTTATCGAAAGTTATCACTATTTATCGAATTTTATCGGAGTACAAGAATGTATCGAGTTATCGAAATTTATTGTTATAAAATTTTATAGCGTTATCGAAATTTATTGAGTTATCGGGTGATGAAAACGCACAGTTATAGAAATTAATTGATAGTTATCGCGATTTATCGATAGTTATCGAAATTTATCGATAGTTACCGAAATTTGTTGAGTTTGAAGTTGATCGAGTTATCGAGGCTAATGAGTGCGCGTTTTAGTTATGGAAATTAGTCGAGTCATCGACTTTCATCAAGCTATCGGAATTTAGTGTTTTCGAACTTAGTGTTTAGAAGTTTAGAGTTAAGGCTCATTAAGTCTAGACTTAATTTTCGTAACTTCCCTGCAGCAAAATTTAGAGACAGTCTGGCAAAGCGCTAGTTCCGTCCTACAAATTTCAGAACTGTCTCTGCACTACTGAAAAAGGGATGCAGAGCTGGATGGTTGAAACTCATATGTTGCTAGTTGCGCTGTTATCAATGTTACTCATCCTGGTCATGTAAAAGCTGACAAAAGATGCAGAAATAAACTTTATTATTTTTTTTTCGATTTTCAAACGACCCTAAAACTAATAGCAAACTGTATTCGTTTATTTAATATGTAACTCTCTAGTTTATGGGGCAACTGCTAAATTATTTCCAAAAAGTCTTTATTGGTAATATTAATGTCATATTTATACATATATAGGTACGCATAAAATTTAATGCAAAATATAACTATAAAATTTAGTTAAGCTAAACTTAACAGCAAAAGTCTGCGTACACCATTTCTTTTTTGAATATTCACAATATATTGAGAGTTAAAATTTGTTTGTTATTATTTTATAAAAAAATTTATCATGCTTAAAACAAAATCATATATACCGCGTTTTTAAACAGTATACAAATCAAAGGAAAATTTTACGATTTTTCATCAAAATGTTCGACCTTTTAATTAGATTAAAAAAAAAATAAACAAAAGTGGTAAACAATATCACTTCGATATGGGGGTGCTATTGATATGACCGATACTGTACATACGTAAATATATCACCGAGCACGAGTGTAGTGATTCGAGCCTTCGATTTCCCGAAATTGTTCGAGAAGCAATTGCCTGCGAGGACCACTTTCTCACGAGATTCTCGTGTATCGAAAAACTCGTTATACTCGCGAGCTTCTCGATGATCAATTTAATGGCCGCGTATTTAATTTAGGGTATTTAAACCCTGAACTGTTGAATTTCTTTCAAGCGCAATACTCGTCGCTCTCCAGAATATCAACCATGAGCATGGTGCTTACCAGTGAGGCCTGTATTGTCCAACCATATGGAAGAGCTTTGCAAATACCAGATTGCACTGTTCCTCTCCATTCATTACTTTTACTTACTTTCTTTGCTGGAGCCATCAAACCATCCCAGCAAAAAACACGTTTACCACAGAAACGAAAGTGGAAACGAGCTAGGCGATGGGAATCGCTTACCTTTTCGCTTCAAGAAGGCCTTATTTTAACATGGGCATGTCATTGGAGGTAAGCCCTTACCTGCAGCATTACCTTCAAACGAAGGGAGAACGCATGGATAAACAGAATCCAGAGAAGCGAACAAAGAATGCCTTACAGAGAAACTAATGTAGAATGCCTAGATAAGTACATACTTATTTATATTAAATTGAAATCAGAAAATGTCTTAAAAGATTAAAATTAATTAAAATTTTTATAAATCAGCTTTTATACATACATATGTAGGTATTTAGATTTTCTTAAAAATCGGTATGTACATACATGCATATTTAACTAAGCTTAAAATTGTACTTCCTCACTCTTGTACTTCACTTCATTGACTGACTTCAACTTCGCTGCAAATTGAACAAAGCAAAACATGATTTTTATGCGAGACAAATTTCCACAGAAAGTAACGGTAGAAAAAGAATTTTCGGGTATTCATTCTATTTTTCAGCTGACTACGATGCAGCATTCTACTTTGCATTCTCCGAAATGAAGCAAAGAAGCGAAATAAAAAAAAATATTGTAGGACATTCTACTTTGCATTCCCTGAAATGAAGCAAAGAAGCGAGACAAATAAAATATTGTAGGAGATTGTACTTTGCATTTCCGGAAATGAAGCAAAGAAACGAATTAAAAAATAAATATTATAGGACATTCTACTTTGCATTCCCCGAAATCAAACAAAGAAGCGAAATAAATAAAATATTGTTGGACATTCTACTTTGCATTACCGGCAATGCCTAAAAGAAGCGAAAAAATTCGAAGGCATTATAACGCTATGCCTTCTAGAACACGTTACCACTAAAAGCGATTACCGATTTTTTGCTGGGATATATGTAATACATCTATATTGGTAGTAAGCTAACATCTCAATGTGTAAGCATTCCGAAATCAAAGCGAGACAGTCTAGTACTGTTTTTGTCAATGTATTGTGTACTTGAGTGCCGTTTTTGTAAATGTGTAGTGTACATGTTTATTTATAAACGTATGTGTTCCTTTTCTTTCGTACGTGTTTATTGATATATCTGTACTGTAGTGTTTTCGGACGGTACTAGCTCTTACAGGCTAACCTAATATTCACGCACGCCGCCAATTTACTGCCAAAAATTTCTCATGCACATACAACTTGTATGGGACCAACCGAAATTGAACGGCGTGCGTATGAAGCTAACTCAATTTCCAATTTTTGTTCTGCGTGACATTTTGATTTGACGTTTCGCTCAATGAAATCAAATGCAAACGCACACAAGCCAATTTCGGGTGACGCAAAAAAACAAATTCGACAGCGTGCGTACCAAAACGCAAGCCGCGAATATTAGGTTAGCCTGTTACTCATACATATACAGCATATACATGCATCCCTGCAGAAAAACCGCGGTCTAGTGAATCAAATTTCTAGTTCCGTACTAGGTCTTTATCGCCAAAAAGGAACTAGTCCGATAGGAACTAGATCCCCACCAGTCCAAAATCGGCGAAAAGGGGTACTTTTAAGAAACTAATTTTTCAGTTTTTTTCACTAGAAATCTATATCTAAAGTGACGAATTTAGAATTGGTTCGGAACTATAGAAAAAGGGATGCAGAACGAACTAGATCTTATTTGTCGAATTTAGAACTAGTTCGGAACTATAGAAAAAGGGATTCAGCGGAGGGCTTGTTTACTTTACATAGATATGTGTTCGGCGGCTTTTTCGTTCAAATACGCTTCTATTCTGTGCTTCGCAGATGCTATTTCATAGCCTGGTAATACAAAACTAAAATTTGTGTTAACATTTCAACATCTTGGGACCGTCTGGAATCTAAGAAATAACAGCGAGCACCTCTGCAAACTCAGCTACAG